AGGATTGCAGTTTGGTTTGAAGCCAACCTGGGTAAGAAAGTCCCTGAGAGTCTTATCTTGAATTAACTACCCAAAAAGCCAGAAAAAGGTATGGCTCAGTGCTGGAGTGCTAGCCTTGAGCACAGAGCTCATAGACAGTGCCCAGGCCCTGAGTTCAAGCTTTAGGACTGGCACCAAAAAAAGTAGCTTTTTGGTCCTAGGCAGTGGTTTAAGTGGCAGAACATTTTCCTAGCAAGCAGAAGGCCTCAGAAGAAAACCTGCTTGCTAACACTGTGATCTTACAATGACAACTTTGTCTTGCAAGGCCATCTTATCACTATTTTTTCATGGCCTTTTCTCTGTGTACACACTCATCTCTGGTGTCTCTTCAGAGTGACCAGATTCCTTCTTCTCGTAAAGACTCTAGTCAGATTAGATTAGGACCCACTCCAATGGTATTATTTTAACTTAATCAACTCTTTAAAAGTCTCATTCTGAGGCACTGAGCATTTGTGTCTAGTGGAGGGTACACAATTTGCTACTTAAAATTCCTAGAGACAAGCCAGATTGAAAGCCAGAGAAAATACATACATGTGTAAATTTTATATGTTGAAAACAGAAGTAAACTTGTCTATTTTTAGACAGCTATGGTTTTCTTCCCTATGAAAAGTTAGGTTAGTTTTCTATACTACTTCTTCACTTGTGTAAGGGCTTTATAGTGGTGTAAAGACTAGAATAGGCCACTCAGAAAGAGGAATAAGGTATATGGAATAATAGAAGACCCTGGATAGAAAAATCAATCCTTAGCTGGAAGAACAGCACTGGAGGAATATCAATACCAAGCTTCAAACTGTAATACACGGCTGTAGTAATAAAAACAGCATGGTACTGGCACAGGAATAGGCCAGTGGACCTATGGACCACTGGAATAGTATTGAAGACCCAGAAATGAACCCACAGTCCTATAGATACCTAATATTTGATAAGTGAGCCAGAAACACAAGATGGAAAAAAGACAGCCTCTTCAACAAATGGTGCTGGTAGAATTGGCTATATATGCACACAAAACTGAAGATAAAAAAATATATCTATATTTATCACTATGTACCAGAATCAACTCCAAATGGATCAAAGACCTCAATGTAAGACCAGATATCCTGACAATGTTACAGGAAGGGATAAAGGAAACACTAGGGATCCTTGGCACAGGTCAAAACTTCCTAAGAAAACATTCAGAAGCACAAGTCAAAGAAAGACTGCATAAATGGGATTGCATCAATCTGAAGAGTTTCTGCATGGGAAAGGACATAACCAGCAAGATACTAGCTATGCATCAGACAAGGGCCTCATATCTAATATATACTCAGCTCAAAAAATGAAAACTCACTAAAATCCTCAAAGAAACAACCACCTAACTAATAAATGAACTAAAGACTTAAAGAGAGACTTCTCAGAAGAAGTAAGAATGGCCAAAAGACACATGAAGAGATGTTTGACATTTCTGGCCATAAAAGAAATTCAAATCAAAACAACATTGAGATTACACCTCACCTGTTAGAATAGTCAGTATCAAGAAAACTAACAATAACAGATGCTGGCAGGGAAGTGGCAAAAGGGAACACTACTATACTGTTGGTGGGAATGTAAACTTGTTCGACTACTCTGGAAAGCAGTATGGACGTTCCTCAAAAGAGAGGAACTCAAAAGATAGCTTCCCTATGACCCAGCAATCCCACTCTTGGGCATCTATCCAATTGATCACAAACCAGGCTACACTAGAGCAACAGCACCACCATGTTCACTGCAGCATTTATCATAGTGAAGATAGGGAATCAACCCAAATGCCTTTTAGTGGACAAATGGATCAAGAAAATGTGGCATATATACACAATAGAATTCTATGCTTCTATCAGAAAGAATGACATTGCCCCATTCATAAGGAAATTGAAAGACTTGGAAAATAGTATACTAAGCAAAGTAAGCCAGACCCAAAGAAACATAGGCTGAATCATTTCCCTCATTTGTAATAACTTATAAATCTACAAGTAACCTCAATGGAGAGTAAAAGACAAATAATTACACCTGGACATAATTAATAAAAGAACAATATAAACATTCACTCAGTGAGAACAAAGGAGAATATTCTTAGGAGAGGATCACAAGGGCTAAATAGCTATGTGCATAAGTCATGTAAAAGGATGCTTATCAAAATGAACTCCAAGAAATGGAAGCAAGAAGTTCTTTTTTTTTTTAATTATACAGTTTGTGGTTCTTTTTTTCTTTTTCTTTTTTCTTTCCTTTTACCTTTGGCTTATTCTCTTTTGATTTCGGTACCCTTTGTCTTGTATATAAGTTTATCTGATTTGAGGAGGGGAAGGGGAAGCCCAGAAACAGTGGGACAAAGGGTGAACCAATTCAGCAGTGAAACCCACTAGACACTATGTTGGAAATGAGCTATTCAACTTTAGCAGGAGGGAAATTGGGAAGGGAAAAACTGGGAGAGAATGAGGGAAGAGATGACACTGTTCAAAAGGAAATGTACTCATTACCTGAATCATGTAACTATAACCCTTTTTGCACATCACCTTTACAATAAAATTAAAAAAATAAAGCATTAGAAAAAATAAATGGAACCATAAAGCCTTAGTGACAGAAAAAGAAAGAAATAAAGAGGAATAAGAATTAAATCAAGATGTGCCATTCTAACTACTCAGGAAGCTGAGATCTTGAGGATATGGTTTTGAGGCTAGCCCTGGCAGAAAAGTTCAGTAGACTCAATCTCCAAAGTAACCAACAAAAGTCAGGGTTAGAGATATGGTTCAAGTAGAAGAACAACAGCCTAGTAAGCTCAAAGCCCTCCTACTCCACCCAAATAATTAAATCAGGATGAAAAGTGAATATTAGAGAAATTATGATGAATTTTTTTAGTTATTAGGACCAAAAAGGAAATCTATACTTTTCTGAGCATGAGAATCATTTATTTATATTAAAATTATTATTCAAGCTGCATGCTGATGGCTTATTTCTGTAATCCTAGCAAGTATGGAGACTGAGATCTGATGATTTAGGACAGTCCATGAGACTCTTTTTTGGGGGAGGGGGGTCCAGTCGTGGGGCCTGAACTCAGGGCCTGGGTGCTGTCCCTCAGCTCTTCAGCTCAAGGCTAGTGCTCTACCACTTGAGCCACAGAGCCACTTCTGGCTTTTTTTCTGCTTATGTGGTGCTGAGGAATAGAACCCAGGGCCTCATGCATGCAAGGCAAGCACTCTACCACTGAGCTCCCTTCTCAGCCCCCCATGAGACTCTTATCTCCAATTAAGTAACAAAAAAAATTGCAAGTGGAGCTGTGGTTCAAGTGGTAGAGTGAGTACCTAGTCTCGAATAGAAAAAGCTAAGGGATAGTACCTAGGCCCTCAGTTTGAGCCCCCAGTATTGTACAGGCACACAAAAATATTCACTAGAAAAAGATCAAGAAGTGGAGCTATGGCTCAAATGGAAGAGTGCTAACTTTGAGTAAAAAGGTCAGGGACAGAGCCCTGGCACTGGGTTCAAGCCCCAGGACTGGCATAAAAAAGGAAAAAAATCAAAATGCCTTTGTCTTCTATACCATCCTTTTACCACATCACCTTGTATATGCCTGCATTACTCTGCAGGTGTGCACTCTGCACCTCTCTGTTCCACTCCTGGCCTGTGGTCACTATATTCTGTACCTGGAAGATTATTCAATCCTGATACCATTCATGGCTTGTTCAATCCTCAAACTCTCCCCTCTAGCCCTGAGCATTACCATAGTCCTTACAATGATGAATAAACCATTTCTTGAAGATAGGGTCTTATTTTTGTTGTTGTGTGTCTCAAGAGACAGGATTGTGCCTTCATGCCAATGCTTCTCAGGACAGACCTTAACCCATGATGGAAAGAACTCAGAATACATCTCATGAGGGTGACAACTGTTCTTGTTTGCGTGGAACCTAAGGATTTCCTGGAATGCAGATTTTTTAGTTCTAAAGCCTGCAACCCTGGGAAACTGAGATGGTGCACCTAGTTCCTAGTTCTCTTGGGTTAGCTCTGGAATTGGGAAAAGTTGCTCAGAGTTCCTCAGCAGGATCAAACTGGAGATTCCACAGAGGTAATCTGTTTGATCATGTACCACTCTTGGGCTATCTTCTCTTTCATGTACTTTCCATTCTTCTAACACTTCCCTTTACTTCCCCCAAATGACTAGCCTTGTAGTATGCTTCTGAGGGTAGCCAGTCCAAGATAATTACTGTTTCTTGGTCATTTTATTAGCTGGTGTGGAGGTTTGAAATGAATGTGTGGACTGAGGGACAGTTATTTCAGATTTCAGACAGTCATTTCAACGCTGGTGTTGCTGATGTTGTTAAAATGACACAAGTTGCCACCACACCTTTGGGCAGGTAAGCCTGTACAGGATGAACTGGTAGGCAAGAGAAGGCAAGGGTAGAGGCCTTGTGAAAGTGGCTGGACTTTATCTAGAGCTCAATGAGATCATATAATGGAGGAAGCAACTTGCTTGTTAGATGCACTAAGTTTAGCATCTCTGATGAAAAGGTGATTGCTATGGCTTTAGATGGGGACCTGAGAGCAGAGATTATTGCAGCAGGCAGAGGGAAGTCAGAAACAAGATTTAAGAACAAACAAGTTCAGCAGTGCTTAAGGACTTGGGATATGGTCCAGTGATAGAACATACATGTATCAGGCCTAGACCCTGGATTCTATCCCCAGAATTACCAAAGGCACAACAACAACAAAAACAAGTTTAGTGCTTAGATAATAGATATGTGTGGAAAACACAAAGGTGAATAAGAATGAAGTAAGTGATATTCTTTATTTGGATGTCCATAGAGGATGCAGGAGATACAGATCTATCTAATGTGGTCCACAATGTGGTTGTCTTTCAGGTACTTTCCCAGTTTGAGATCCAGGAAGAGGAAGGTCACACAGTAACACTCATGTTCAGGGCTATGTCATGGACCCGTAGGGCTCTTCATGGCTCCTCCATGCCTCAATCAGCAAGAATGTTCAGCCAAAGAGAAAATAAGAGCCGTACCCCGACCAACAGAGTGGCTGTGGTTACCGGCTCTACAAAAGGGTGAGTGAATGAAAGTCCTTAGCCAATTCTTAACTAGGAGGTGTCACAGTGGGCTCTGCAGTCCCACTCAGCTCACATATCCCTGCTAAAATAATATACAGCCCTGGCATTTAACTCTAAATCATAACATCTCTTCCTACAACATCTATTGAGACTACCTAAAGAGCTTTTGTCTTCTTTCTTTCTATCCTCCTTCCTTCCTTTCCTTCAATTTCTCCTTCCTTCTTTTCTTGCTAACCCCTTCTCTTTCTCTTCCTTCTTCACTTCTTTTTTTTTATTTCTGAGACTCTACCTCCCTATATAGTCTTGGCTAACCTTGAAATAGCCATCCTCCTATCTTAGCTTTTTAAGTAATCATATTATAGGCATGCACCACCACACTTGCTGGAAAATATTTGATTTCTAAGCTCTAGGAAGGATGTAGCTGGAAAACCACCTGCTCTCAATGAGAGTAGAGTTTGAATTTAGTCCATGCAATCCCCGGATATTTAGCTAATTCCCATCAGGATGGCCTTTATCCTACCTTTCACGACCGTGTGGCCATGGTCTTTCAGAGTTCTGAGCTAATTATCTCAGACTCAGGGTTTTGTTGACTGCAGACTGCCCACTAGTGCCAGTAGAATGGGCGGGACAGTGTCTCAGCTCAGAGTCTTTGTAGTTCAGAGACTCACTGTCTTCCAGTGTTCTTCCAATTCCTCTTTGCCCTCTGGCTGCCATCACAATACACCATTTATGAGCATTTTTTTTTTTTTTACTAAAAGGTAGAAGGATGGTAAATTCCTATATTTTGTGCTCCAGGAGTATCCTCTGTTCTTTGACCTTTCATGGCCTGTAACACCACCAATTTTGGAATTACTTAGAGATTCTAGACTTCCTAGGTCCCTCCCTGTGATATTTTAAATCTTTGTGTGTCCACGAAGGGCTGAAACTGTCACAACTTCTGTCCCCAGTATTTATAGTAAATGAATATATCCAAGATTCTAAGCTACACAGAGAGTTTCTACAAGATAATGCCTTCTCCTTTTCCTTTATCAAGTGGGACAAACTCCAGCAAGAGTTCTCAGACCTCCTTAACATGAGAAAACAGAAGGGGAGTGTGTTCTCCAAAGAGAAGCTATTAGGCTTAGAGAAAGTGCAATTTATACTATAGCCCTATAGCTATGCAAAGGGATGCAGAGCTAGGCAGTTTTAAAAAAATTCTCTCTATTTAGGCCTGGTGCCCAGCAAGTTTCCAACTATTTGGACAGATCACTTTTTTTTTAAGCCCCTTTAAATGAACTTGATTATTTATAAAACAATGTATACACATCTAGTGCTGGTGGCTCACACCTGCAATCCTAGCTACTCAGAAAGTTGAGATTTTATGATCAAAGTTCAAAGCCAGCTTGGGCAGGATAGTTCATGAGACTCTTGATGTCTAATTAACAAACAAAAAAGCTAGAAGTGGAGGTGTGGCTTAAATGGTAGTATCCTTGGTTTCTTGGGTGAAAAAATCAGGCCCTGAGTTTAAGCTCCAGTACAGATACATTAAACAAACAAACAAATAAGTAAAATGACATGCATACAGTTATGAGAGTTGAGTGAGGTAGCCTTTGTGAAAGGTTGATAGAGAAATTCCTTTTGTCTTCTAGGAAGGGTTTAAGGGCAGCTCTTGGGCAACTCAATGTGTGTACTGGTCACGCTCTGCTGGGAGGAGGATGGAGAGGGCTGAAATTGTCACAACTTCTGTCCACAGGATCGGCTTTGCCATCGCCCGCCGTCTGGCCCAGGAAGGGGCCCATGTAGTCATCAGCAGCCGGAAGCAGCAGAACGTGGACCAAGCTGTGGCCATGCTGAAGGAGGAGGGGCTGAGTGTGACGGGCACCGTGTGCCATGTGGGGAAGGCTAAGGATCGAGAACATCTGGTGGCCATGGTGAGTGGTCAGAGGGTGGGACATATGGGGATCTGTTGAGCCAGCCCTGACAGGAGGGAGGTGGGATCTCCAGCACTGAATTCTAGGCCTGTCCTACCAGTCCAGAACACAGATGTGTCCAACAAATTTCCTGATGGAGAACTTGGGTGGGCTAGGTGAGAGCCTTGCAGATCAAACAGTGGTCTGCTGAGAAGCCACTGGGCATGACTTGGAAGCTTGCTGGAGATCCAGAACCTTGCATGTCTCCAGGACAACTGACTTGAAGGCTGCATTTCTCTAAGATCAGTCTATGGTAAAGTCAGCAGCATAGCTCTGGTGCCCACAGGTGTTGGGATGGGAGCCTCTGAGGTGGAACTTTCCTGGATGCCAACCCTGAAAGAGGTGAGTGCGAAGCAGAATTGGAGGATGCATGAAATAGGCCGATGCTGTGGTAGAGAATAGGTTCTTGCTCTGTCAGACCAAAAGAGGGTCCTTCCAGAGCCAAGGGAAAGCAGACAAGGAATTGATTAGAAATAGGAAAAGTGAAAGCAGGTTACCTAGTGAATGAATGAAGGTCTGGATTAGTGAGGGTTAGAGGCCAAGCTGGCATGTCACAGAGATTAAAACTTGAGGCTTCCAAGGAGGTAAGACACAATGTTTTATTCACTGACTACCAGGAGGATCCAATTCTCTCGGGTGGAGCCCTAGGAGTTATTTATTTCCTCCAGGCCGTCAGCTCTTTACTGCATTCCTTCAACCAGATCCTCTGTCAATTTCCTCTACAGGCACTGGAGCATTCTGGGGGTGTTGACTTCCTGGTGTGTGTTGCAGGGGTTAACCCCTTGGTGGGGAGCACTCTGGGATCTAGTGAGCAGATTTGGGACAAGGTAGGGTTGTGTATTATTATTATTATTACTATTATTATTATTAGTAGTAGTAGTTGTACAAGGCAGTTGTAATTCAACAAAAAGTGTATGAATACAATGCGTCTTGACCAATCACCCCTTTCAATATTCTCTCCCATCCCTCCCCTACCTACTGTCACTTTTGAGGATTGGATCTAATACATCTCACATAGCACTCCATCTATAGTGTTTGTGTGCATGTGCACACACAGTATCTAGACTTCCCTATGCACATACCACCGGCTCTGATGGGTGGGGTTGTGGCTCACTTAAGTCAGACTTCTCCTTAGTTAAGTTCAACAGGCATTGACCATGCCCAGACCACTAGACTCCAACAGCCTGATTTGTATTCAGTCTCCCTACTCTAGTTTGCTACAAAGTGTGAAGATGCTAGAAGATATTTCTGGGTCTGTCCATTGTAGAGATCCTCTCCAGCCCAGGTTTCTGAGGCTGCCCCAATCTGGACCCACTGAAATACCGCACGGATCATTCAAACTGGCTGTCACAAACAGTCCCTCTGAACTGTCATGGGTGACAGAAGCCTTCTTCCAGGCCTGACAATCCCGCTGGAAACCATGTGCAGTCCAGGGGTCCTACTGCCTCAGCAGACTCCTGTTTCTTCTTTCCTGTGCTATCCGCCCAACACAGCTCAGTCCTGGACCACCTTCTGACCACTAGGAACAGAGAATGTATCCATGACAGGCGGGAGTCATTCTCACCTCAGGGGTTCTTCCTGCTCACCTCCCCTTTTTTCCTGATACACTTGGCCCACTTTCCCTGTGGGGTTCTCAATTTCATGGCCATCTTGACCCACCTTCCAACTAATTCCCCTTCATGACTGTCAGGAACACTCAGGCTTTTTCAGTTAAAAAAAAATGATGGTGGTTCACACCTGTAATCCTAGCTACTCAGGTGACTGACATCTGGAGGTGTATAGTTCAAAACCAGCTTAAGCATGAAAAGTCTTAGAGATTCTTTCTCCAATTAGCCAGTGAAAATCCAGGCTGATGGCCTGCCTCAAGAGCACCAGCCACGCACAAGCAATCAGATGAGAATTAGGCCCAAGCCCCTGTACTAGAACAAAAGGAGGAGGATAAGGAAGAGGAACAAAAGGAAGGGGCCTAGCTTCTAGCCCCAGCACTAAAAATAAAACAAAATAACTCCAAACTACAACATACAGTACAAGCAAACAAATGCCTTGGTTCTTAACATTTCCTGACATAGATGAGGCCTTGGGTATGGATTTCATTTCTCTTACCGTACCTTTCCCTTAAGGCAGTTCACTTATCCCAATTTTCTTCTCTCCTCTCTGGAAGGCAATATGATCAGGGAGAGGTCATGGGGGGTTTGACAGTGAGAAGGTCCCCCAAACCATAGAGTCCTGGTGCCCCATGACCTGGGCAGGCCTATGTGGTCCCTCAGATTCCCTCCTCGGCACACTCTGACCCTTACATTTAGTAAAGGAACACAGGGTCCTGGCCATTCACCACAGTTGTAGAACTTTGTGCCTGCTCTGATTACTAATCTCCAAGTGACTGTGCCAATGCCACATCTCTGTGTCCCCTGCCTCTCTATCCTTTTTGATTTCAGATCCTGGATGTGAACGTGAAGGCTCCAGCCATGCTGCTGAGCCAGCTGCTGCCTCACATGGAGAACAGGAGGTACATGCCTGCGGGGACCTACTGGTGTCTTTGAACACTGGTCTTTTCTAACCCTAGGAGGCACTTGGGGCTGGAGCCCAGAAAATGGGAGATTGTGGGAGAGATAGCAGGAGCGACCTTTGGGAAGCATTTTCCATTTTCAGCCCTCCCTTCCTCCCCGCAGTCTGTGGCAGTTGTGATGAGGAGGGAGCATGCTTGTCTTCACTGACCCTCATTCCTCTTGTCTCAGGGAATGGAAGGGACTTTTCTCCTTTAAGTGACAGCTTCAGGGATGAAAGATCTAGAATGAAGCAGCCTGAGGTCCTCAGCTTGACTCACTTTTTTTTGTGCCTTTCCTGAGGCTTGAACTCAAGGCCTAGACTGACTGTCCCTGAGCTTTTTTACTCCAGGCTGGGATTCCACCACTTGAGCCATGGCTCCACTTCTGGCTTTTTGGAAGTTAATTAGAGATAAGACTTTCCTGTCTGGGCTGGCATTGATCCTTGATTCTCAGATCTCAGCCTCTTGAGTAGGTAGCATTATAGGCATGAGCCACCAGTGTCCAGCTGATTCCCTAACTCTTGCCATCCTCTGTGGGCTACCTTACCTGTCCTCCTTCTGGATAGAGGCACTGTGGGCCCTTCCCTGTGCTCTGGGAGCCTGACTCTTCTGTATCTTGTGGCCATCTGGTGGCAGGTCAGACTGGGACTGCTTAGTGAAGCTGGATCTGACAGGGGACTTTATAACACAACAATGTTATGTGGGCCCTTCTGTGTCTCAACTTTGGGGTGTTGTCCAAGTGATACTACTCTGACCATGTTTATTGGGTTATAGTGATCTTAGTGCCCATTAATTTAGAGCCATGTACTTTCCAGAAAGTTCTGAATAGTTCTCCAAACTTGTCTGCTTTTGAAAACAGAGCCCAAACTTAAAGGCTGGTCAGACCTAGTCATTTGCCCAAATATGCCAAATAAAGGGAAGGGAGATTTATTACTAGTCATGGGCACACAGAAAGAAGAAAACACTTCAAACCATCTTCTGCGGTACAGATGTCAGCTTTTGGTTTAAATAGAAAAAGTATTAAGAGACTGGGAAGTCACTATACATGGTTTAACAGTCCCAGTTATAGGTATGATCATAATACTTAATGCTTGCTCATCATTTGATTCCTGGCTTTGAGAAGGATTCTGGAAAAGTCACATTGTTGTCATCACTCCAGAGAAGCAGTCTGGTCAGGATGAGCAAGTCATTACTGTCTGGCAGGTGTTCTTTCTTTCTTTCTCTTTAGTTTTAAAAGATTAAAAATAGTTAATTTGTAGGTTCAGGTAAGTAGCCAGTGCTTTTTAGCCAAAATTGTTTAAGTTCCTGTTACTTTTATAAAGTCTGTGGTTGGAGGCATGGCTTAGTTGATAGAGTAGCTAGCCAATGAACAGAAGTGTCAGGTACCAAGTTAGAGTCCCAGGCTTGGACCAAAAAAAAAGGAAAGAAAAGAAATAAAGTCATCATAAACTTTGAGCTAGTTTCCTCTTCACATAAAAGCACAGTTTCTGAAGCCAGGTGCCAGTGACTTATACCTGTAATTTTAACTATTCAAGAAGCCGCGATCTGAGGAATTACAATTTAAAGCCAGCCAAGAGATTCTTGTCTCCAATTAAGTAGAAAAAAGCTGGAGGTAGAGGTGTGGCTCCAGTGGTAGACTACTAGCCTTGAGTGAAAAAGCTAAGCAAGAATGTGAGGCCCTGATTTCAAACCCCAGTGCTGGTGTGTGTGCTAGTACCTATACACACACACACACACACACACACACACACACACACACACACACACACACACACACACACACGATTTCCTGGTTTATCTGAAACTATGATTATTCAGTAGTTGTGGAAAGGGGTTACAATTCCATAAGTCCAGTTATGAGCACATTATCTGGTCTTTTAGTTGAACTCATCTCTTGTCTCATCCCATCTTCCTCCCAGGGGGAGCTCCGTGGTTCTGGTCTCATCTATGGTGGCTTATTTGCCTATACCAGTGAGTATGAGGCCCTCTGGTAGGGCTTGCGGTGTGATTCCCTGAAACAGTGATGGGGAGGGTAGGACTGGCTACAGATTTTAGATAAAATGGAAGTAAGATGTGTACTACCAGCAAAATATCCTGAACACTGCAGACCACGTATTACAACCTCATGTTGCCATAACATCTCTGAAGCCCAAGGACATTAAGCTGCTGGTCTGGGGTTAGCATGGTTAGTGCACATTACTGCAAGGACAGCTCCCTAGGTCTTTATTCTAGTTGCTGGACTGAATACTTGAAAGCATAATGCAGCTTTCTCTATGTCAAGCTTGGACACACATGACAGTGACTTGTTGACATATCCTTAAGTCCAGAGAAGTTCACTGCTTGAAAATTATTGTGGAGCAATGAGGAGAAAGGGAGAGGTTTTGTTTGGGCCTAGAGTCTGGAACTCAGAGTCATAGATTTCACTGGGACAAGACCTCTTCTTCCCATGCATACCCACTTTGTCTCCTGCCTCTGCTTTTCAGGCACTGGGAGTCTACAACACTAGCAAGACTGCCCTGTTAGGTCTCTGCAAGTCACTGGCTGTGGAGCTGGCACCGAAAGGCATTCGAGTGAACTGTATAGTGCCAGGAATCATCAATACTGACTTTAGCCAAGTGGTGAGCATAAAGCAGCTCCTGGCCCCATGTTCTCCAACCCCCATCTCTGTCCTGCTGCTCCCTTCTCAGACCAGCATCCAACCTGAACTGAGACACACAGACAGGAGCCCCAGTCAAGGCCCATCATCCAGGCTGCCTTACAGCCTTTGGGCCTAAAGCCTCCCCTTTCCCTGCAGAAGAATGGGAGGGGGGGAAGTCTCTATTCCCTGAGAGGAGAAGACCAGAGTTCTGCTGCACTGTCATTTTCCCAGTGGGGTCATCCTCCCGCAAAGACATCGGTCAATCCTCCATCTAACATTGACACTAAAATCTTTCAGCGGAAGTCATTGACCCACGTCCAACCTGCCATAAAGGATATCTATGGATTGCTGCGGTAGGTGGGGAATGAGGGGGTGTTCATGGTTCATGTATACTAAAGGGGGAAATCCCTTTTCTGGAGTCTGATTAGCATCAGGTCCAGGCCTGGGGTTAGGAGGGTGGGTGCTGAGGTATTGATCTGCCAGGGTGAATGTGAGGCTTTCTCTCTGAGCAGGCAGAACCTGAGGTCAGAGTTCAACAATGCCAAGGCTGTGGCCTCTGTTCTGCTTTTCCCAGGACTGGGGAACCAGAAGAATGTGCAGGGATCGTGTCCTTCCTGTGCTCTTCAGATGCCAGCTTCATCACTGGAGAGAACATTGTAGTGGCGGGCTTCTCCCCTAAACTATGAAGAGCATGTGGCTAAGAGAGTGTGGGCATGGTCTTCAGTGGAAAATGGAGGTTGGGTAGAGGTGGGAAGCCTTAGAGTTCCAGTCATAAAGGAAAACTTACTGAGGAAATGAGAAGGAGATGAATAAAGTTTTGCATTTAGAAATAAATACGTTTGGAGGCTTCTGGGCTCACTCCTATTTGGCTAGTGAGAAATGAGCATCCCCTTGATCTAGAACCCTCATCTCTCTCTCTCTCTCTCTCTCTCTCTCTCTCTCTCTCTCTCTCTCTCCCTCTGTCTCTCTGTGGACTGGGACTTGAATGTGGGGCCTGGGTGATGTCTCTTAGCTTTTTTTGCACTCTACCACTTGAGCCACAACTCCACTTCTGGGTTTTTGGTGGTTAATTGGAGATGAGAGTCTCATGAACCTTCTTGCCTGGGCTGGCTTTGAACTATGATCCTCAGAACTCAAGCCTTTTGAGTAGGTAGGATTACAGGTGAGAGCTACTGGTGCTATCCCTCCATGGGAGGACAAAGGTGTTCACTGATACCTTTTCCCTCTTCATGCCTACGTTCTTCTGCTCCTTTTAGGGATATAGGCAGATATAGAAGTTAAGGGGGCAGTTTTGTAAGTGCTCGCCCACGCCTAGCTTGGAAACCTCTCAGCAGAGTCATTCCCCTTCCTGAGTGAGCAGGAAGGAAGGATGCATGGTTCTCAGAGCCTTCAAATGATCTCTTTTGGTCTCACTTTTAGTGCTATCTATACCTTTTTTCCTTGCAAAACTAATTTTATTTTATGTCAGAAACATTATTTGAAATTCAGAGCTAGGCAGAAGAAATAACAGCATATTCACTGCCGTGTTGGGCTTAGATTTCTATTGTCTCTGGGCAGAGGTTAATGTGCTGTTTTTGTTCATTCCAGATGCAAATAATTTCTGTCAAAAAGGGTGATGGTCCTAAGGGTTAATGGTTTATTTTCTAATTGGACAGTAACCACTTTGTGTCTAACGTAAGAATTTTATGTTAATAATTGCTATAAATACCTAGCTTCTGGAGTGCTCTTTGAATTAGTTGTAACTGGTTACTTATTTCCTCATTAATTCATGAGTCAAATGAAATTGTTAAGCTCCTGTTTAGAAAGATTAAAAAAACTTATCCCTGTTTTGGAAAACTCTTGGGTCCAGGAAAATCGAGACACTTCCTTGTAATTCTTATAGTAAAACTTGCTCAGATGTGAGGTTAGCACCAAACCTTTTGATCTCTCACCCACAGGGATAAATTTCAAAGCACTGCAATTAAACCTGTGGCTGCTTCCTTACCAAACCAGAGGCGAGACATTAGCAGATGAAGTATGTTATAGAGCATGCTACTAGCTCCATTCTCTATTCCTTTCTTCTTTCTCTCTTTGTAAAAAGATGTGTGTGTGTGTGTGTGTGTGTGTGTGTGTGTGTGCATGCATGCATGCATGCATGCACTCCCTATTTCTGAGACTTGAACTCAGAGCCTGGGTACTGTCTCTAATCTTTTGTACTTAAGGCTAGTGCTCTACCATTTGAGCTAGAGCTCCACTTCTGGGGTTTTGGGGGTTTATTGGAAATAAGAGTCTCATGAACCTTTCTGCTTGCGCTGACTTTGAACTGCAGTCCTCACATCTCGGCCTACTAAACAACAAGGATTATAGGTGTGAGCCTTCAGTGCCTAATAAAAAACTTTTTATTTTTGAAGTGATAAATGGAATCAGGAATCCTTGGAGTCAGTTCTCAAACATCTTTAATCTGCAAATAGTAATCTGGCTTTCAGAGGTTACATGAAAAAGTCTTCAGATCGGCTGATGCAGTTCAATATTAATACTAATAATCATTTGTGTACCACCTACTGGGAATATGTGTAGAGTTTTATACATATTTGGTTAAAAATAAATGTTTAAAAAAAGAAAAAAAAGAGAAAAGTTTCAAGACTATGTCAGATAATTACAATGACCAGAAAGGAATTCTTTGGGTTTTCCCATTGACTCAAAACTCAAGTTTTGATCTCTGCTGGACAATCTCAGATCTCTGCTGGCCCTTTATCTCAACCAGCTTTAACAAGCTTTCAAAGTAAGTCAAAGAATCCAGCTGCAACAACTCTGCATAGATTTTCACTGGTATCACCATAGAAACAAACCTCTTACTTTGGGGGGAAAAAGTCACATTATAATTAGGAAAACTGATGTACAACATAGATTAATGAACTGAACAGAAAACAGGGCAGCACTTGAAATAGGAAGGAACTAAATGACGGAAAGGACAGTTTAAGGAAGGAAACAGGATGAAATGCTGGTCTCAGAAGGGAGAGACAAAATGTATAACCCTCTTGTTCTCACATGGTATAATATCTGGCTGCAGGGCTCCTGGTGTGATAGTATGGTGATAAGCCAACAGATATGTTGACCATTTGTCAGAAACCCTAAAGGAATCCTGTTTTCGGTTTGTGTCACAGGTCAATAATGAAACTAATTCATTGTCCATGGTACACAAGCTTTGTGTGTGTGTGTGTATATTTGTGTTTTGTGTGTGTGTAGCACTGGGACTTAAACTCAGGGATTTATACTTTTGATTTTTTCCCACACAAAGTTGGTGCTCTACCACTTGAAACACCTCTACCACTTGAAACTCAAACACTTTTGGTTTGTTGGTTGGAGATAAGAGTCTTATGGACTTCTCTGCCTAGGCTGGCTGCAAACTATGATCTTCAGATCTCAGCCTCCTGAGTAGCTAGGATTGCAGGTGCGAGATACTAGCCCCCAGCCAACATGGTTGAGAGGTCAGAGACAGAGAGTCGCTGAAAGGTACAAGGAGTTTCTCAGATTTTCCCACTGTAACTTCCAGAGAGCTTTGGGCCTGTACTTGCTAAGGGCTGTGGTTCAACTGCTTCAGCATATCCCTGTAACCTTGAGTCATGCATTCATGTGCTAGTTTAGGGAACTGGCATGTAACCCTGAGAGTAGGTGTGAACATTTGACCTTATATAATCATGGTTGACCAGATGCTAGTTTTGTTTAATGGGGGTATAAACAGGCACTATTGCTGGATAGTGTCATGCTAGGGGACAGTGTAAATCTGTCAGCAGTATGTATGCTGCCACTCCTGATACTGCTGGGCATGTTTGTAGCTGTTCATGAACTTTGAATAAAGCATGGCCATTACATATTTTATTCTACATGCCCAAATCTCATTTTAGTTTACCTGGAGCTAAGAACCTATACACAATACACTGAAGTAATATAATGAAAAGACTTACAAAAGTGTATGTTTCCTTGTGTTACATTATTTTGGGCTGTGTTGTGTTTATTTCTGAATCCTCAGAAGTTAACAGAGGTTTTAGCTACATGAGTGTTGTTTAATACATTTTTTGCTAAATGAACAAATAAAATCTTTGTGCCCCACCATGAAAATAAAAAACAATAATGTAAAAGAAAAAACAGAACCTGCACACAGTAGCAGCTAAGGGGGCAGGGAATAGGCTAACATGGGGGAGGAATATTCATGTATTCTTCTGGAGTAGGTGGAGACTTCTCAGAATTGGTATGTCACCTCTTTCTTCCTTTTAGGGTCTGTTATTCCTCATTGTGGCAGCTGATGGTCATGCCATTTAGCATGCAAATTAGATTATAATGAAGTTAGAGGTTACCTGGTTGTGGTTATTCTGGAAGCCATCTTGTTCCAGTGGGTTTTAGCTTCTTTAGCTATCCTGTCCTTATAAATAAGATTAGAAATTCAACAAGGTCACATGTCCATATTATCAAGAGCCTGAATTGCTTCTATTATTTTGGAAGATCCAGCAAAAATGACAAGTGAGATTTGCTATGCGTAACAATGAGATTGTGCAAATTGACAAGAAAAACACGAATGCCTAAGCAAATAATGGGAAATTTAATGAAAAACAGTCTATTAGAGGAAAAATGGCTTTCTCCTCTACCCTTAATGTTTTTAAGTGAGACTGTGATAGAAGACAGACGAACATGAGTTATAAAATCAAAATATTGGAAATAATTGAAATGACCCCAAATAAGGAGAATTTTAAGTAAATTCTGTGTATTCTTCTAGTCTCTTCCTGTTCAACCATATCACATTCCTCTTGGCTATTTCTTTCTTTTTTAAAAATTTTTATTTATTTTTTATTGTGAAAATACTGTACAGAGGGGTTACAATTACATGGGCAAGAAAATGAGTACATTTCTTATCAAGCATTGTTGCCTCCTCCTTTGTTTCCCCTTCCTATCCGTTCCCCTCTTGGCTATTTCTTGAAAATGCCATAGTACCTCCAGCTTCAGGACAATCACAATTGCTGTTCTATCTCTTTGGAACATTTTCCCCTCAGATTCCTGTTTGCAATATTACCTCATTCAGTTTCCAGGATTTTATTTAAGTGCTACCTTTTTCATGGACCCTCCCCCCTCCGCCTCCTATTTTTTGGTTGGTTGTGGGGCCTGGGTGCTGTCCCTGAGCATTTCAGCTCAAGGCAAGCACTCTACACTTGAGCCACAGCACCACTTCTGGTCTTCTGGTGGTTTATTGGAGATAAGAGTCTCATGGACTTTTCTGCCCAGGCTGGCTTTGAACCGTGATCCTCAGATCTCAGCCTTCTGAGTAGCTAGGATTACAGGCGTCAGCCACCGGCACCTGGCTTCTGTCTCTCGGCCATATTCGTTTACTTGGCTTAATTTCCTCCCTAACACATACTACCATGAAACAAAAGGTTTTAATATTTAAATCCAAATTAAATGCCACATTTCATTGCACTGCAAGTTATTGGGTGTTTCTAAAAATAACACAGAAAGAAAGACCTTTGAGTCAAATCAAGATTTCAAAGACCCAACATGTGAAATTGGCTGGGTGAAGAGCTTTCTTACCCTGTGAAAGTGACATTGCTCTCTACCCCTTCCTAGTACAGCTTAGCTATCTTAGGCCAATGTTCTGTTGGAGTTGGGCCTTTAGAAAATTGGCTGAAAAAAATCATCAGGATGTTAGAAGATACTGGAT